AATCCAAAGTCAACAAAATTCATAAGACCAAATTACAAATATTTTTATAATTTATTTGCACATTAATTCATAAAATATATTTTATATTCAATATTGAGGGTTATATAGTAAGATTAGTAAATAGAAAGAGTTGATTAATTAAGAAAAAAATAAAATTAGAAATTAGATAGTAATTTTTGCATAAATTAAAATATTAATTAATTTTTTAAAATTCAATAAAGTAATTTAATGACATATTAAAAAGGAAGAGAGGGAGAGAATTTTTTTTTGTTATTAAGATTTTTTTTGCTTTTAACTCGTAAATCAGTGGCATAGCATTTGTCTAAACTAATTTTGATATTTTTATACTAAAAAAATATGTAAAGGACATTGACCAACTTATGTATTGATTAGTTAAACATGATTGATTAAGCATGTTTTCAATTAAGTAAATATTTTATAATTTTATAATAATATTATAATAACTATATATATATATATATATATATTATAATTTAAAAATAGTTGAAGACCTATAACTTGTAAATATTTAGCTAATGACTAATTAAAATTTTAAAATTTTAACTAAATGATTGAATTAGAGTTGTATAAAACTAGTTCTCTAACTAGTTGAAGTGTGTTAAATAAATAAAAAAATGATAAAAAATTTAAAAATACTACAAGCTAATTCTAAATAAATCATATTATTAAAAGAAATAAACTCTAAACTCTTAAATATGTTACTAAGCATACTCTAAGTTGAAATTTAAAAATATGTTAAAATTAGGTAAACATGAATCTAATAAAATATTAATAATAAATTAATGATTATTTAAGCATAAATACACACATGGTCTAGATCAATTAATGTTAAAACACGTTTTCTTTATGTCTTTGCATTAAAGGACTTGTATCAAATCCGTGTGAAGACCAAGTTTCGATAAGAATATTATTAAGGTAGTCAAAAGCATCTGCTCAGTAATCTTCTATATTTTTCCCATTCCTTTTATAAACATTAATGATTAGGCTTAATTTTTGCAATTTGCTTAGGCAATCCCTACAAATAATGTAAAATTAAAAGAAATTAAGTTACTATCATAGAAAAATATTAATTAAATTTCCAGCAAAAAAATTTATTAATTTAATTAAATTGAAACGTATCCACTGTCACACCTTCGGCTTAACACTCATTATAATCATGTCAATGGCATATCAGTTCTCTATTTTCCTTTAAAAGACATCTAAATTGAATATAAAAAATATTATTAAATCCTATAAAAAAATTATTTCACTAACCATCAAATCAAATATGTGGATTAACGAACCATATGATATGCTCGTAATAGTTTTACTCAACTCAAATAAAATTACTTTAAATAAAAAATCCATGTAATGTAAAAAATATCTTCGTTATATAAAATCATTACATCTGCAGTAAAAACAAAAAAATCATTACATCAAATCTTTATTATTATTATTTCATATTTTTTTGCATTTTAATTGTTAAATGGCCCAATATAGTAATTAGTAAAATTTAAAAAGTACAAGATTATTTTTGAAAAATATTATTTAAGATTACATTTTACAATTATAAAAATTATTTATTTATTTATTAATATGATAACAGTGAAATTATATTTAAATGATTGCATTGAAAATTTAAGGATTTATTAACATATTTATTTTATATTACAATAAATATTAAGCAAGTAAATCTTCAGTGATAAACTTACTTACCATATCCAAATCTAAGTACGCGATCTGAGTCAAATCTGAATTAAATCGGAAAAGAAACAAAAATAAAATAAAATAAAATAAGTAGAAAATATTAATTTTTATTAAATATATTAGTTTTCTTCCAAATATTTTCAACAACATTTATTGAAATATATTTTAAATTAAATAATAAAATTATATGTATTCACGATGGGTAATTTTAAGAAAATAATGTAGGATTTATAATATAATTGATATAAATTTAATATAATATTTATAGAATTATTATTTTAATATATCACAAATTTTTATAGAATTTATTATAGTATTTATTTCATTTAAATTTTTAAGGTTTAATTAATATATTTTTTAATTTTATATGCCAAAATATTTGTAAATATATAAAAAATAAATGTTAAATAGATATCTTATACTATGTAATAAAAATGTGATCACTTTGAAAAAAAGTCTCATAACTTTTTAAAATTATTACATGACTTTTATGTTTTACTTTTAACCATTTAAGATGTAACAATTCAAATTTATTTTCACATTCTAAAATAAAATTTAAAATTTAAATATTTAATTAACATTAAATTATTTTAATATATAAGAAAATTTTTTATGAAGAAACAACTATAACATATATAATAATTTAAAAATTAAAATACGGTAAAAAAAATGTATTTCAAAGTAAAATGCAATCATAATTTTATTAATAATTATGTTATAATTATTAATACACTTACTCTTTATCTTACAAATGTATATTTATACAGAAATTATTTTTTAATTACAAAAATAGTCCATATTGTAATTTATTAATTTTTTATAAGATTTTAATTTACATATACTGATAATGTAAACTTTTACAGTGTCACTGGATCATAAATTGTTATATAAAAAATAATCCTTTATTTCTGTAAAAATTAATATAAAATTTTTATTTATGGTGTATTTTTGTTGATTGGCAGAGTAAACTTTTTTACACTACAGTACATCAAAATTAAACTATTTTTATAATAATATTATAGATTAAATTTTAAAAGTATAATGTAACACATTTTTTACCAATTTAATATAATTTTACTGCACAATGTAACAAGTATAGTTCAATTTGATTTTTCAAAATAAAATGTATAAGATCCATTTGTAATTATAAACTTATAACGTCATTAAAATTAATTTTAACTCATTGTAATTTGAATTTAACATGCACATATAATTTTTTATTTAGATAAAGAAAGGATTAGCACTTCTTTAATTTAGAGGTAACGAGCAATCACCTGAACAATGATTTTCTTTTGTTAATACTTCATTAATTTGGGCCTTAATTACCTGAGTTCAGTTTAGGAATTGTTATTAAAACAAAGCCCATGACATGGGCCAAGTTGAGAATTTGACTGGGCCTATTGGCAATTTTGAAATTTCATGAAAATGGTTAGAGGCCGTTTCTATCATTGACTTCTTTAGGAGAGGATTCTTTTTCCCCATAAATACTAAAACTATTTTCTCTCACTTGTTTAATAATTTTTTAAAAATAATTATTTATATCGTAAATTTGATAATGAAATTTATTAGATGCCTTGAAACAACTTATAAGAGTAATAAGATATTTCATAAGTTGTTCATAAATTCTAAACAAGCTTATGCCGTGATTTTTATCTATGATTTAATTTTATCATTACATAGCCGTATATTAATAAGAATTAATTTTTAAATCAATTAATTTTATAATTAAAATTTTTATTTAATAAATTTTAATTATTAAAATATATTAAAAATTATGTTAATAATATATTTTAATATGAAACAATTTCATATATATTCTCAATGTGTTATATTATGGGTGTAGTAGACCCATATATTTATATAAATAATTGAATTTCCACAATTTAATTTATTTTAGTAGTGTATGAAACTTTTTTTTTGTATTTTCAATATAATATTTAAATAAAATTATATTAAGTTTTGCATTTCGTTAATGATTTCAAGTTGTAATTAATGAAAATTTGAACACTGATTTTGATTGCTGATTTTAAATGATTAATAAAAAAGGAACTTTTATTGAGAAAGAAAGTATTTATTATATAAAAAGTATAAAAGTGTAATCAATATTTACTTTTTTAATAAGGAATAATTTCTTTAAGTAATTAAAAATAAAAGATAAGAATTAATATGAACAATATCAATACTTAATATCAATAATACTAGTTAAAAATATTTATAAAAAATTGCAAAACAAGGGTTGGATAAACTTAATGGACTTTTACAGTTTTCAACTTTTAACCATTCTGAGAGAAGTAAAATTATTGAAAATTAGTAATAGCCAGAGCCAGACAAAGTTGCATCAAACGGGCCACACTTAAGAGCAAGGCTCATAACTCTCTAAACCTTTTGATAGTCTTAAATGATTATAGTTATAGACAGGTGGACCAACAAAGCAAGAAAAGATTCATGGAAAGAAGGTGAAAAATAAAAAAAGAGAGGAATCAAAACTAATCGAATCATATTATTGCTTTTGGTAAACTATTGTTTGGCAAAATTCAGTGAGCAAACACATCGAACAAAGATTCCCAGGGGATATTTGAACTTGTTTTTTCTTATCCATGTTTTGATTTTTGAATAATTGGAATCCATGGCTATCCCACATCAGCAAATGACAAACAGCGCCCATTTGTGTTGAATTGGTTGCCATTGTTCCTTTTTTTCCTTCCCTATTCAACACATAATTTGGATGGGGCCAATGGCATCACATCATTGAATTTCTCTTATTCATGTAAACCACAGCATATAGCAAAGTTAGACACTTGAGCCAATGAATAATTGAGTCTCATTTTCTGTCATGTCTCAGTAAGACTCAGATAGTTTGGTTGTTCAATCAGTCACTTTCTACTCTCTTAGCCTTGACATTCATTCATACCACAAATATCTTATTTCAAATGGATAAATCTCATTCTTTATTACCCTTTGGATCCATTTTGGGTTGTTTGTTGAAAGTGTTGATCACTCTTGTAACCTTATACGTGTCGCTGCTCTGAAGCGTAAAAGCAATAATAATTGTAACGGAACATTAATTTTGTAAGCGTTTCGTTTTCTTAATTTTGCCTACCTATGCCAACATTTTTGGTCGACCATGCCTAATATTTTCAAGTTTCTATCCCCATTTCCACGTTTCCACCACTCATTCATTTTTAAAACCTTTCTTCCAACAATTGCTCCACAACTTGCCCCACCTATCAGATGCACTATTTTATCCATCAAAACCAAATCTATAAATTAATTAATGATAATAATAATAATAAAAAAATAAAAATAGACCCCTTAATTTACGAGACAGAAGACACCATACCTCGTTATTTTGTTTTTTACAAGAAAAAACTATATGATAGACCAGAATAGAACATTTTTTTGCCGCATCGTTGACCCAATTTGATACTCAAAAGTTCCCTCAATCAATGCCTCAATCAAAGACCATCGTAGTAACCACCACAGGTTATGCGAGCTCTACTAAGAGGAACACCACTCACTGCTGAAATTGCTTCATTCAATTTGGTTGCATGCTCTACCACTTGCTTAATCCTCTGCAATCACAATCAAGTGTACTTTAAATAATTCAATATCCAAGGATCCATAATCAATTGAATTTGGACCTGATCTAATTAACTATTCAAGAATAGTAACATTGCATACTTGATGCAAAAGTAAACAAAAAACCTTATCTTCCACCAACTGCAATTATTATTTTTTTCCTATGACATCATTTCATAAGATGACAGAATTGGCCCTTCCATCACCGTCCTATACTAAATTATGCAAAAAAAAAAAAAAAAAACTACATTTTTTTTAATTGAAGATAACAAGCCAAGAATTGATAAAGAAAAATTAAATGCATTTGCTCACCTTGTCATCAGTGTAGATCTGGAAGCGAATCTTCTGGTCCTGGTGGACTCTGTTCTTTTGCTGGCTTCCGAAAAACAAGACACAGATTGTAGCAGCAGCAACCCCAAATGAGCAAATAGCTCCAACACCACTTAAGCTCCACTTCCAAAAGTTAAAGCCGCCACTAGAGTCCTCCACTTCTTTGTCCACAATAACCATTCTAGGAGAGGCCATGATCTCTTGTGCCTCACCATTGTCCTCAAATTTCAAAGCACCTGCATCAAGTGGAGGGAACAATCCTTTATCACCGGACTTTGGAGACTCCATTTCCTTGATCTTGAAGACAACATTTGCAACGGTGTCTTGATCAGCTTCCACAATAGTTCCTTTGGTTTTCTCAGTGGTGGTGGGTGGTGATGGGACAATAGTGACTCCATCATGATCCCTAGTGTTTTCTTCCACTAACCCTTCGTCTGGGACCTTCCCAATTCTTGGTTCCAATTGAATTGGAACATGGACAACATGTGTAGCTACCCTTGGATGAAAATTCCTTGATGCTTCTTCAGAGGTTTTTCTTGATTTTGGTGAGCTGCAGAAGTAATTCATGTCAATAACACTTTTTGAATCTGGGTTTCTTTTCCCCGAGAAAATCTGCTTCTCATCACCATCTTCATTGGTGTCAAAAAAGCCATCGTCATCAGAAAGGAGTACCCACTCATTAGTATCCATCATCAGAGGGATTATTCTGTTAGATCAAGTAAGGTTCGGAATTAGGAAATTGGTCTATATAGGAAAAAATAAAAAGAAGGGGTAAAAAAAAAAGGATTTTGATTATTGGGTGTTGATTTGTTGAATCAAAGGTGGCTTTTGTGGAGTTTTGCGTGGAACTTGATCACTTATAGTGAGAGCAAGTGCCACCATTTATGTGTCTTGTTACTCTTGTAATGTAAAAGCTGAGCTCACATGCCATTGACACATGATTTGAGTGTGTGTTTATCCATCTAGAAAATGACAAATTGGAGAAGGGTGAAAGTGGCCCGCCAAGAAGAATAACTTGTACGCTGGGAATTAGGATTCTTCTTCTTGTATCCTAATGTGTTTCTTTTCGGTTTTTTTTATTGGAAATTGGATTATTAAACTCTAAAATAAAATAGTTTAATCATAAATGTTAGGCTGTTAGTGTTGGATAAAGGTGAGTTTTGAACGGTAAGTGCAAAAATAGTGGAGGGGTGACCAAACTTTGTCAAAATTGAAGATAAGAGTAATGGCTAAGCTAACGAAAGATTCTCCTTTTTATTTTCTTATTTTGTAACAATAATAGGATGATTTTCTTTTATTACTAAAAAAAGGAGTGAGATGATAATGATGAGTTGATGTTGTGAAAAAATTATTTTTAATATTTTTATTTACTCAAACAAATATTTCTTGTTTAAACAAATTATAATAATATTTTTTAGAACTTAATTATTAAAATAAGTGAATTTAATTCTTTTCGAGATATATTGAACAAAAGTATAATGTGACCCATATTATATTTTAACGTGTGATAATCCTTTAAAATAAATAAAAAAAATGATAGAAAATAATTGTGAGAGTGGAAGAAAGATAAAGCACACCGGTTGTACAGTGTTAACGTTCATGTTTGGTTAAAAAAGTAAAAAATGAAAGCCATGTGTTTTTTTTTTAATTTTGTTTTTATTTTCATGATATTGTGTCACATTTGAATCACTAGCACACTTCTTTATCATAATAAATATCATTTGCATAACAACTCCTTAAAAAAAGCTACTAACCTCTGAAATTTGTGTCAACATTAATTTTACTAAAATTAGTTTTTAAATAAAGTTTCAAACTTAAAGAATACAACGGGTTAATCAAGAGAACTTACTAAAAATTGAACTTATCTTAAGGCTCAAAAAGACAAAAAGTTTAAATTGATAATATTTTTTAATTTTTTTTTTAAAAAACTCTTTGTGGCAACTAGTGACTCGAGTACAATAAAAATATTTTAAGAAAAAATCTTGCTATGAAAAAGATATTTTTTAAATAACCAAAAGAGTTGTGAATGCCATCAAAATTTATTTTTTAAAAATTTTAAATTTTTAAAAAATAATATGATTTTAAAAATTAAAAATAGATTTAAAAATTATTTACGTGTAGAAAGATATTAGTATCTATGATGTTTGTTTAAAAATAATTATTTTAAATTTATTGTATAAATTTATTTTAATTTTAAAAAATATTTACTTAATTTTTAAATAATAAGTGTTATTTTTTTTATTTTTTTAAAATAAAATTATTTATTAAAATATTAATTAATATTTTAAAAATTATTTTAAAAATAGTTTAAACTTGATGGATTACTACTCCTATGTATTTTAAGAAATTCAAAGTCATATAATTTTAAAACTAAGTAAAAGAAAGTTTATTTTAAGATTAAAAATATTTTTATAAAATTAAACATTTAAGATATAAAATATTACGATTATATAAATATTTTATAATAAATAATATAGATTTATTATTATTAATTTTAATTAAAATATACATTTTCTATTATTTACTAATGTAAATATTATAATAAAATGAAGCCACCTGCATACAAATGGACATAAATGTTAATTACCTAGTACATATATAATGCTTATGAAACAATATCAACATTTAAACCCAAAATTAATAAAATAATACTTAAAATCAATAATATTTAAAAAAATTAAATGGATTGAATTTAATATCAATTAAAAATAATAATAAATAACATTGATTAAAATAATTTATAAAATATTTTTCATCTTCAAAGAATTAAATAATAATTTTCAAAATAAAATATATAATAGCTTTAATACATTATTTTAATTAATTTTTAAAAAAATTGGTCCATACAATTTTTTTTAAATAATTAAAATAATTTTTTTTGTTTTGAATTAAAATTTATCTAAAATTTATTTAAATTTCGTTTTAAGTCTAAAAAGTGATTGGGTCGGACCAATCTTTGTTCTATGGCAAGAAGACATGAAAGTAAAGTCTAAACTACATCTTCAGGCATCTTTCACCTAGCATTGAAGGTTACCATATCATATTATATAATATCAAAGTCTAAACTATATTATGAATTTTTTGGGGTAAACTCTAAATTTTAGAGAAAAAAATATTACTCATCGTTGTATTTAAACCATTCTTCTAGGTATAACTCTTTATTGTTCTTCAATCTTCAACATTTCCCGTTCTTTTTCCTTCAACTTCATTTTCAAGAAAGATATTATTAAATTTTTAATTGGAATAAATCATTAAGGAGTTTTAGTCTAAAACAAGCTCAACTGTTGGGTAACTTTTAATTTTTTTTGTTAATTTTAATTTACATATTTTTAAAAGCAAAACAAAAGAAAAAATGTTTTGATGATTGATTAAATTTAATATATGAATTCATTTGTATTTTTATTATACTTGGTGCCTTGAACAAAAAATATGTAGCTCCTTCCCTAATGTGAATATCAGCTGGTTCCTTAGCAGATAGGATGTGTTAGCTATCAGTTACATTGATTAGCAATGATTGTGTAGCTGCGTAAATGTTAAGATTATGTAGAGTGTGATACTGCTGCGTGCATTCTTCTTGTAAGCTACGTTTTTTTAACCTTTTGGAATATAAATAGATGTTTGTGGGTCATTTTCTGTTGTAAATCAGTGGCCAAAACTATGGCCTAAAGTTTGAAGTTGAAATTATTTGGCCACTTCTTTGTACGCATTCACAGCTGTCAAATAATTAAACATAAACGTGATAACAATGTTAAAAGGGACAGAAAATGAAGAGAGAGAGAGAGAGAAGAAAACACAAAAATTGCATACCAAAATGAACCTGCATTCATGACTCTTGTTCATATGGAAAAGGACTTGAGAGTTTCATTAGGATGATTAAATCCTAATCGGTTAAAATTGAAACATGAAGAAATGGAATTTTGTGGATTCATATATCTTTGTTGATACATTAGAAACTCTTATTATCAACATAACCAGCATTTGGTATTGATGTGAAATTCAGATATTTTGCGTGTTTCTGTGTGCTGGTTAAACGCTAATGAAATATCTTTTCCCATGGATCTTTACAATATTCTGTTATATCTCTGAAATTTAATTAATCGATTTTCTTAACCTATACAACACCGCACATAATAAGATATAAATAAGTAGTATATTTTTTTTTATTGAAAATTATATCATTTAACCATATCAATACATTAAATTGCATTAGTTTGTAAATCATTTTTTAAAAAAACTTATTATATATAACTTGTACCTTCTGAGTGAATTTTTAGATAGATTCTTGTAGAAGAAAAAAATTAATATAAATAATGAATAATTACTTAATAGATCCTTTTTGGCTGTTTTAAGGGGAAAAATTATCATTCAAGTGTTTGGAAGAATTCACACCAAAACCCAAACTTTGAGGAGACTGCGGAATTCACACCCTAACTTGAAGGATCACAAATTGTACATAATTAAACTTCCTAATGGAGGCTTTTTGCCTTAAAATTTCCATGCAAACCACACAGGGCATAATTAAACATGCTCCAATCAAAATTTATATAGGCACTAGCCAACCATAACATAAGCAGAGTTTTACAGAAATAAAGGAAAAAAAAAATCAGTAGAAGAGTTGGCATAGTGGAAAAAACTGGAAGCAGCAAGAGCTGACTAAAGCACTGAAAGCTCTTACAGCAAAGCCCAAGTTTCATAATTTGGACTTACCTCTGCTTGAATAGATGGCGTAAGGGCTAAATTCCCATGGGCATAGTCAAGTGATTAAGCATTCACATGAAAAAGATTTGCCATTTTTCCATCTATTTTTGCAACAGAAACTAGAACATATAAACGAATAGCTTTGCTTATTTTACATCTGTTGACGCCCATAGTTAATTCAACCAGCCCAATAGAAGTTACTATAAAATGATTAAGGCGCGGGTGTTTGAGATCCATAAGCTTTAGTGTGTGTTTAAATTCATATTGAAAAATTAATAAACGTGAATTCAATAATCCAAAGTAGTCACTGCAGGACCAAGCATGCACTTGTTCTTACAGCAAAATCAATTCCAATAAAGGTGACTCACAAGTGTCTATTATAATTAATAAAACTGATTTAAAGGTGAGACCAATAAATTTTCACATACACATACCAACACAACAATACTACGAAAGTAACAACCCCGTAGTTCAACATTGATTCTTCTAAAGGTAAGCACCCTTAGAACAACAAAAATAAATCCGTGTTGTCTTTAACAATACAGTAGTACCATAGTTTTGAAAAAGAATGCCAGTGTAACAAGAGACAAACCTGAAAATGAGAACCTTTCTTGGCACTATGTCATTTCACCCAAATATTAATTTAGTAGTTGGAGTATGGTATAATACCTGAATCAATTTCAATAGATATTTCCTCCAAAAATAGAAAAAAAAAAAAAAAAAAAAACTTTTTATTAAACATAGACAATGTGTGTATACATTCATACTCACAAATTTACAAAGGAAAGCTGTTCTCAAATATACACACCCCTTCACTTTCTCCCAAAATTCAACTTAAACTTTCACGTCCTTTAACTAATAACAAAATTAGAGAGAGAGAGAGAGAGAGAGAGAAACTGTTACGGGTTCCCAAGCTTCACTGCAACTTGAAGATATTATCTGATTAACTCTTCACTACCCTCAAAATGACTATAACAACATGGTTAGTACAAACATTGAGATTTGAGATTATCATCTAGCTGATGAAGATGACTCACCCAGAGAAACAGAAGCCAGAGATGATGCCCAAACTTGGGCACTCCTTGCCCTTTCATGAAAGTTCCTGGTCTTGCAGAGTCTTAGCTTGGTCAAAATCCTCTTCACATCAACTAAGTTAAGAACACGCCCTACCATGTGGCTTGTCTCGCCAAATATTTGCAAGTTCAAGTGAGGAACATAGGATGCCCAGAGTGCTTGGAGACGCAACATAATCTCAGGAAACACAAACAGAATAATCCTCAGACCGAGAAACAACATAGATAATGCTAAGTAAGGTTCCCTGCTTGATATTTCTTTGAGGGAGAAGCCCATCAATGACTTCATAGTTGAATGTTCATCAATAATCAAGTTGCTTAGTCCACCAACAACAATGTTGTCCCTTGCTTCAAATCCTGAGACATGGCAAGGTTATTATCATTTATAAGTCATGGAAGGTCTTGAGACTAGGTAAATGGACGTTGTTTTCAACACATTATTTTCCTATGTAAATTCTGAGATTAGAAAAAGGACTACAAAGGATCATTTGTAATAATCATCAAGCTATCAAATTAGAATCAGGTAAAAAAAGTAGTGTAGGGAATTCCACCAGAAATTTACAAACATGATTTAGGATATGCTTACCTGTGTTACTCTCATAAAACTCTACAAGGGCGTTAAGATTGTTGGGACCATGATATCTCAGCCATGATGTCTGGTTCACCAATAAGATAGCAGGCAAACTATGGATTGCATATTTTGAATATAAGCTGCACGGAACAATATATGAACATACAAATCAAGACATTTGTCAAGTTTGTGAATTGATAATGCCAGATTATCTGTTATCTGCCAAGCTTTACTAATTCAATGCACAAATTACAAAGTAGCAGAAAAAATAATCTACTTTAACATTACTTCGTGGCATTAAACTAGCCACATGCAAGCTAGTGAACTGCCACCTAACTACTGCAACTTGTATATGAACCCTAAACTTTGAACCTGAAATACAGCTAGGGAAATAAATTTCATAATTATCTAGAATTACATAACAGTAACAGAAGCAGAAATAGCTTCAAAACCTTGGTAAAGCTGATGATTGTTCAAGTGCCACATGTTCTACATGAGGAAACATGGAACTAAGAATCTCAAATTCAGGAACGATTCTATGTGAAAAAGGACACCAGGAAGCATAGAAGAGTATAGAAATGTATCCAACCCTCTTTTTGTCAGACAAAAGCCCTTCAATGAAATTCCCATCCACCTGAACATACCAAAACAATAAATAAAATATACGTCACCAGAATATTCATATTGATCCAAAATTAAAAACTAACCAAAGAAATCAGTAAAATATAAATAAATATTCAAATCTATGTAACTAATATTAGAATGAGATTTAAGTTGAGCATATTAATATAGAATTAAAGTTTTATACTGCATGCGAATTGATGAGTGTTCCAAAATTTAGATCAAGACATGATGTAAAGTAATAAATCTTAATATGATAAACCAGCTCATAATAGCAATGCAGTTACCGGTTATGTATGGTATATGTATAGGTATAACTGTATAAGTATTATATGATAATACAATACAAATATCAATACAGCATTTTTTGAAAATTTCAGGATATGAGAATTGTATATTATCTTAATAAATTTCAGAATATGTTTCAGAATTTGCCAAGTTACTAATGCATCACATGACATATCATTTGTAAAGCACAAAAATGTAAAAAAAAATCAAACTAGACCTCAGTTTTCAGTCTGCTAAAAACAACATAAAATTTTTATTTATCTAGATGCCTGGGACAGGATAACAAACAATTTCTAGGACTTTAAATCATCAATGTCAAACCCACAACAATTACTTATCTAATTATGTTTTGAACTAACTAACCTCTGACAAAGACATGACGAAAAATTCCAAAGTTTAATTTGAATAGAAAAATGAAGTTCTAAATAAACATATTATCCAAATAGAGGAGGAAATAGACCCAACATACTATCCTTAAATACTATACCCCCAACTTCCCCAAAAGTTTCCCACGTAGTTAGCCATTAGATAATTGCCAACACTAATATTCCGATTCCCCATTTTCAAATTATCAAGCCCGAACCTTATTCTTCAAACTAGGACACCCACGAATCAAAACACCACTAGTCAGAAGCAAAGCATTGGCATAAAACTAGAAGCGATAAAATCAAAAGCAGTGAAGACTTCATATCAACGAATAAAAACAAATTCCCACAATCAAAATCACATGAATGAACATAAGAACACGTAAAAAAAAGAAACTTTAGAATCGACATAGATAGGGGGAGGCACCTGAAGAGGAGGGTTAGGGGACATGGCGAGAGAGCATTGGGATTGAAGAGCATAGAGAAAGGAAGGAGAAGGAGGAGGAGGAGAGGAATACGAGGATTGTAGAAAAGAGAAACAAGTGATGAAGAGAAGATGAAGAGAAGTGGCCATTGAACATTAAAGAAGCTAAGAAGGGTATGTTACACAAAAACTATATTACAACACAAACAGAGTCTACAGGAAATAAGGTAAGTGTCGTTGTTTATGTCCCTTCTTTGTGTCTCTATGTTTAGAATTGTATAGTGTTGTCTGGTAATGTTGATGGTGTGAAGTGGGGTGGGTTAAGGTGGAGGTGGGGGTGGGATAGCAACCGTGTAGAGGGTAAAGAAAATGGTTGGGTTTGGTTGGGTTGGGTTGGGTTTGGTACGCTGATTCCAAGTTTCCAACACGAGGGGTCCAAGGAAATCGGAACCTACTTTTCCAAGCCAATCCTTTTCTCTGCACTCATTTCTCGAAACAATTTCGCACAAGTGTCTACTTTTCTTTTCTTGTTTTAAAAACGAACTAAATTTTAAGAGGAAAAATATTATTAAGTTTTATTTTTATATTTGTAGTGTATTTTTAAAGTATATAAAACAATAATAAGAGAAAAATAATAATATACAATATTATACGTTAATATTAATTTTCAACGATTTAAATAATAGTACTATTTGAAAAATGTTTTGGCGTCGTTTTACTAAGAATTGATTTAATTTTCTTTTATATTATATCTTTTCAAAGCCTCTAACAGACATCTTTACCAAAAGGCTTCTGATCTTACATTCTTTAAGTATATATTCTCAAGAATCACTTTACAAATTCTGAATATATATATACTTTATCGAATATTTTTATAAGTTTTTATTTTAAATATTTTCTCATGTTATCTTTGAATACGTATCAGCAAAGCCATAATTAAAGCCAGTATGCATTCAAGTGATCAAAACCAAGGAATTTGGAAAAAAAAAAAAAACCATGCTGTTGATATGCATTTGAAAAGACATTTTATCTTATTATTAAATAAATATTTTATTTAAAATGTCTCATGAGTACTTTTCAACATGTAACTACCTTTTTAGGTTCATTAGAAGAAAAAAAAGACATGTAAATACCTTTTATAAGGTTTTTTGACGCCATTAATTTAAATATTAAAACATTTTTTAAAATAGAGTAAAATAAAAATATATTATCGAATTAGATAAACTGTGCTATAAAAAAAATACAGAATGTAGAAGAAAAATGTGCCACATATCTAGAAGATAACACGTGTCACAGCCGTGTTAAGCTGATTCAATAGGTGCCACACACTTACACTTCGAAGTATTGAGGTGGATCAACATGTGCTACACTGCTGCCAGATGCTGACACGTTTTATATTCTGCAAGAAAAAATCACATATAAAGCAGCGTTCATTTGCAACGTGTATTCAATTTTTACGTTAACATTCACTTTTGCGTTAAATTTTTAGTTATTTGAAGTATGAAATTTTTATCATAAATTATTATTTTTTATTATTTTGTATTATATGATCAACATTATTTATGTATAATTTTTTATTAATACATATAATTGGTTATTGTTTAATTATTTTTAATTAATATACTAAATTATCAAACAAACTCTCAAATTAATCTTTAAAACTGTGAATATTAAATTTTTAATTTTCTATTTTAAATAAATTTATTAATAATTTTGTGATAAATATATTATATCTTTATTATTTTATATTTTTTTTAATGAAAAGGGGTTAAGAATCCAAGCAAGAAGAAGAAACTAAAGTCTTACAAATTAGGAATTAGAGACATCTAGATAAAGAAAATAAAATAAAAAAGAAAGAAAATTATGTAAGCAAGAATAAGGAACACAATTCTCTATCTCAAATTTAGTAAGCCAATTAACACTTTGATTGGATTTTCTACAAGCAAAATTAAATCTAACAAATTAGACTTGCTTTAACAAAGACTTAATATCAGAAAGTAGAAAAAAAAACAGATGAAAAATATGTTGAACATTCAAAACAAGCTGTAAAGCATCCTTAGAATCCCCTTATACCTAAATACAATGAAGTTATTTCTAGATGACGAGATGAATAACCCAAAATAAAGCCCATAACTTATTAGAGAGGAGCAAAAGAGAATGCTTCCATGGAAACTAACAATAAAATTATCATGATCATCTTTAATGAGGTCAACATAGCCCATAATCCTTTTGTCAGGCTAAACTAAACCATCCACATTAAGCTTGAAGTGCCCAAAGATAGAAGGAGTCCACTTAACCTGAGTCTGTCAAACCAAGAAACCAGAAATAGAAACAGGTTCAGAATTATGATGGTAAACACAGTTAAATATAGTTAAATTCTCAAGTAATTAACTGAACTAGCTGGCTAGGCAATATAGATGAATTTTGGAAAATAAAAGAGTTTCCATCTTTTCAAATGTACAAAATGACAAAGCCAAAAAGTCCATTCCAATTAGAAAATTTGCTATGATGTTTATTAGATAGATTACTACTTACCCAATTATCAAGACTACAACTTAAAAAGGTAGACCAGATCTCAGGAAAAATAAAATAACTTCAAACCTGTCTTACATAAAAACAGTCATGAAGAACATGAATAATGAATTCAGAATTCTCACCACACCTAGGGCAGGTAGGAAGATCAGTCATGCCTCTGTCATATCTCTCCAAATTGGTCAGCAGTCTACCATAGCTAACTTTCCACAAAAAAGTAATATTGGGAGGACTAGTTCATTTCCAGATTATGTTAAAAAAATCAATACATGGAGTGTGATTCAAAAGGGTATTAGCTAGCAGGGAGTAAGTGGATTTGAGAGCAAAACTAGCATTGGCAGTTATATTCCAATAAAAAAGGTCCTGACCTCAAGAACTAACGGAGGGTTCCATGTCTTTAATTACATTACAAAGTTGAATAGGGAGAAATGCTTCAAACTTTTCCAACTGTCAAACTCCCTGAGATGAAAAAAAGGCCACAAAGTTATCTATCTCAGATTTTAGGATAGGAAAACTAGAAAGACTAGACAGAGGTTGATTGTGAGGGTGCCAAATATCAATCCAAAATTTGACGGTGGACCCATCCCCTATGATACATCCCAAACCTTTTGTAAAAATAGGCCAAACTAAGACCAGCCCTTTCCACAAATGGGAAGCCTTTTGGGTATTATTTGTATAAGGATTCTTACCCAAGGTGAACCTATATTTGCTTTTCATAATTTGGGCCCATAATTCATTTGGAGAGTTAATTAATCTCTAGCAAAGCTTCAATAAGTAAGCTTTATTGAGGACTTTAATATCCTTAAAATCCAAACTCCCAACACTTTTGGATTTATAAATTTATCCCACCTTATGAGATGACCTATTTTCTTCCATAAAGATCCCCAAATACAAATTTTGTTAATTTCATCACAAACAGAGATAGGGAGAAGTAGAGATTTCATTGTGTAAACAGGGACACTCATTAGACAGGATTGGGCAAGAGAAACTCATGGAGGGTGAGTTCATTTTTTGGGAACCTAGTTTATTCCTAATTTTATCCATAATATGGATAAAATCCTATCTATTTGGTATATGATGATTGACAGGAATACCAAGGTATTTTCTAAATTGAGCAGAGACTTTAATATTTAAATGCCCACTAATGGAATGAGAAATATTAGGATCAACATTTTTAGAAAAGTATATGGAAGACTTACTAAAATTAATATCAAGACCAAAAGTAGAACACAATGTAGATAAAATAAACTTGATGACATTTTCTTGTTGTAGGTAAGCTCTAGCAACAAGGATAATATCATCAATAAAGAATAAGTGGGACAAATTAGGGGCAGAACTACTAAAAGAAAAATGGTTCCAATTATTAATAAGGACACTATCTTGAATTAAATGAGTAAATCTTTCTTAACACAGGACAAAAATATAAGAAGAGATAGGATCTACCTGATAAATTCCTCAAGAAGGCCAGTCTATGAAAGCATTCATAAATAAGGTTAAATAGATGGGAGTCCAAACCAACCTTAGATAGGGTATCTAAAACAAATTTCCACCTAAGTTTATCATAAGTTTTTTCTAAATCTAGTTTGATAATCATATGGAAGGAATGAATGAGCTCTTGGAGGATAAGGGAGTTATCAATCCCTTGCCTGCTAGAGACAAAGTTAGTCTGGTTCTTAGAGATAAGAGTAGGTTAAAGAGTCTGTAATTCTATTGGTTATTATTTTTGTGATGATTTTATAGCTAACATTACAAAGGGATATTGGTCTAAAGTGAGAAGCATTTTTAGGATTAGCTATTTTGGGAATAAGAGTAATAGTTGTTTCATTAACATCAACAATGGCTTATGGTTATTAAAAACATCCAACACAAAATTCAAAATGAAAGAGGCAAGATGATTTCATTGGTTTTTTAAGAATAAAGCATGTAGTCCATCAGGACTTGCGGACTTAAAATTCACTATGCTAAAGAGAGTTGTTCTAACTTCATTGATGGTCACAGGGGCCTGAAATCTATCCTTATCAATATCCCTAGGGGGAAGAAAGGAAGATGAACTCAAGAGGATAAAATTAGAAGGATTGAGGTCATGGTATAAGTTCTGAAAATATTGAATAACCAAGGTTTCAAGCTTAGAGATATCATACTCCCACTCATTATTACTATCTTTTAAGGCTTCATAAGGTTTCTATGCTTGCAGGTTAGAGCAGCTCTAGGGAAAAACTTAGTATTCATCTTCCCAAAATTAATCCAATTAACTTTATAACTATGGTACCAATAACACTCTCTTGGTCTAAATAATAAGCACATATTTAGCTTAGGAGAAATATCCTCAATACAGCTAAATATGTGCTTATTCTTTCAAAAAATATTGCCAAAAACATTTTGATTCCACTAAAAAATATTGTTCCTAAATCTAGTCACATTATCAACCCATGAATTTGATCTAATATAGGAACTTTTGACTTGATTCGAAAAATCACTACGGGACAGTTAGGGAGCAAGAAACTTAAAAGTTTTATTATTATTGAAAGGGATATTCTCACCCCTGATTTTGGAGTAGTTTGGTGAAATTCAACAAGTTTTACTAGCAATACAGGTAACTATCCCTCTTATGTTATTTTAACTTTGCACGACAGAGTGTGCACAATTTACAAATTAAATGATTCATGTTTATTATTGGCCTTTGAAGGTAGATAGAATTATTTTCAGTTCATAATTGTATTGTATAATTATATAATTTATTGTTTGTGTTAACATATTTAGTTCTTATGTGTGCTTTAGAAGTTGTAGGCTAGCAAGTTATACCTTATGGTGTATAGGAACTATAATACATTTATCAAATAATACTTAAATGTATTTAATCTAATTTTTATTTTATGTTTGTTTTAATGTATAGGAACTATAAATTATATTATGGATTCTATGAATAAGACTGTGAATATAGATGAATTTGTTTTTGAAACTCTTCTTGTATTATC